AATGGAGCTAATATTGATGCCAAGAATTCTAATGGTGCTTCACCATTTTTCTGTGCTGTGGAAGGCCTGACAAAAGGAATAAGTCAGGTCAGTACATTTATAACCAATAGATACATATTACAAATTCAAAACTACTGTGGTATGATATTTAGCTTCGCTGTCGAGCGGAGCTTATCTTACGAGTGATTGTCCGTCGTCGTCTGTGTCAATGTTTTACTTTTTCGACTTCTTCTTGAAAACTACAAGCCTGAATGCTTTGATACTTGGTGTATATGTACCTTGGGTAGACTTCTCTTAGATTTGTTCATTTCATGATGATATCTTCAATTCTCTAATTTTGGTGAATATTTTTGTAATTTTTGGTAAAAAGTGATATTTTCAACTGCTTGTTAAAAACCGCAAGTCCAATTGCGTTGATATTACATATATAGGTACTACACGTGGACCTCTCTCAGATTTGTTCATTTTGTAATGATATCTTTAATTCTCTAATTTTGGTGAATATTTTTGTCATTTTTGGTAAAAAGTGATATTTTCGACTTCTTGTTGAAAACCGCAAGTCTAATTGCTTTTTTATTACATGTATAGGCACTACATGTGGTTCTAATTCAGATTTGTTCATTTCATGATGATATCTTCAATTCTCTAATTTTGATGAATATTTTTGTCATTTTTGGTAAAAAGTGATATTTTCCACTTCTTGTTGAAAACCAAAAGTCCAATTGTTTTGATATTACATATATAGTTACTACATGTAGACCTTTCTCAAAGTCTGATTGTTTTGATACTATACATTTTGTTCATTTTCTAATGATATCTTCTGTTCTTTAATTAAAATGTGCGTTGCTAACAGCGGAGCTATCTTAGCCGAGAGGCTGCTTGTTTTTATTTACAATAGTTAATGTTGATGTCTGTATACATGTCTTGTGGGGACTCTGTCTTTTGTTTTCCATTGAATTTTAAATAATGACACTATTTGTTCTGTAAGTTCTCTTATGTGATGTCCTGTCCACAGACGTTAGAGATAATCTTTGCATGTGTACAAAAAAATGTACTTGTATAGATAGCATGCATTTTGTTCAGTACCGTTATTTTTAAAAAAAATCCTGTTTTTTGTTTTCAGTTGTTGGTGGAATGGGGTGCTAATGTTCATGCAAAGAACAACCAAAGTAGAACTGCTTTTGTTCTTGTTAGAAATGACGAACTTAAAGTATTTCTTTTAGGTATGTCTGTTTTTATATGTATAACATTTATACATATTATTGTGTCCTAAGAGTATGTAACCATTGTGGTATGTACATTTGTACCCCTATGGTAAACAAAGGAACTAGAAAATTTGTTCATCATTGCCCTTCTGTAATAAGACATTTTATATTTTCAGAATATTATGAACATCTAACTGATGTTGTGCCTAAGTTAATGGATGGAGATGTAGAATTACTCAAATGTTTAGTGGAATATCATGTCACTGGAATACGCCAATTTTCCAGTCTACGAAGCAGGTAATTGTCTTTCATTTGGTTTGCTGGAAATTATCTGTTACCATAGTAGAGCTGCATTGTCTTCTATATTTAGTTGAAAGTCTTCAATATATGAAGTAACTTGGTACTTGAACCGATTCAAAAGTTACAGCGTTTGTGATTTATCCATCTAAGTCACAGTTTGAATTTTAGCTTTTGTAATACGATCACCTTTAGTTAAAATTCTGATTCAATAATGATGACATATACCTGAAGATGCTAATAATTCAAACTCATAAATTTCTGGAAATGATTGTAATTTTTGTCATTTGCATATGACAGGGATATCTTGGCTATCATAGCAACTGTTTTATTCAATACTTGACACAACTACTACATGTGTCAAGGGATTCAATAACATTAGACATTTTACTTCAATCCATGGTATGTCTTTTCTTAAAGGTGTGTTAATGGTAGTACATTGATCCATACTGCAGCTTATTTTGGAGCTATTCAGGTGATAAAAGTACTACTCAAAGAGAGAGTGGATGTCAATCTACTGGACTATAAAGGAGCCACCCCACTACATAGGGCAAAAGATATTGACACAATAAAGGTAGGGTGATGTGATCCAATGTTCTCTCTAACAGGACTGATTTTGTAGGTATCTAGTCAAAATAGAATCCCACAAGTTTAGTCAGCTTTGTTGACTTCTGAAGAGAAATCGTCAAGAAAAAAAATCAAGATTGTATGTGACTGCTAGATTACATCTGAAGGTGTAAACAAAAATGTTAATTTCCTTGATTTTTTTTCAATGTTTTTATAAATCAATGATATGCCAGGGATGAATATTATGAGGTTATTACGAGGATACCTCAAAGTATGCACGAAGACAGTACAGCTGGAGTATCGACCGACGCACAGCGGAGGTCACTGCGACAACGTACTGTCTGAGTGCATACTTTGAGGTACCCTTGTAATAATCTTATTATTATACATCTTTTCCTTCCAAGTGGAACACAATTACTAATAAAATAAATATTGGGTCAAAACTGAATTTACATGAACGAAATTATCATATTTTTCTTTGTTTTCTAACCGTTTATCTTGGCTAGTTTGTTTGAAATTCACTCGCTACCAGTTTTTCAACATATAACTGGAGCTGGATCATCAACATATACCGGTAACCCTGGAGCCACAAAACCATGGCTACAACTATGGTATGCACTTAAAAGTGACTTTGACAATTAATGTAATAATATTGTAACAAATATGTAAACTCTCATGAATGACTTTTACCATAGGTATTGCTTGATAATGGTGCCTTAATTAATGCTGAAGATTCAGAAGGTAATACAGCCTTACATGTGAAGTGTTATGGTGAATCAAATAAACCAACGGAGACACAATGTATTAAATTACTGGTGAGTGTAAACTACACAAGTTATAGATAACCACCTGGAAGTTATATTGCGATAGTTTTTTGAAGATTTTGGTTACTTCTGAATATATGGTTAGAAATATAGTCTTAAAATCATGTACAGTAGTCTCTATATTTAGAATAGATGATTAACTTAAGTTTGTATTTTTTTTATTAACACCCACAGTTGGCTAAGGGAATCTCCTTAACACACAGAAACAACAAACAACTTCTTGCAGCCCATTGCTGTGCCATGCAGGGAAGAGTTGATGCATTGGAAATTCTACTTGAATTTGATAAAAATGCTGAAATCCCTCAAGCACTGGATAAAGAAGATCCTAAATCTCCACCTAGTCTGATTCATCTCGCCATTGCCAATGACTTCTTGGATTGTTCACAGTGGTTGGTGGACAATGGTTATGAGTTCAAGTCAGGTGAACAAGACTTACTGGTACATAGAATACTAACGGAACAAATTAAATGGTAGGTTTCTAACTCAATGTGGTAGGGCTCAATTTTAACATGTGGTGGTACACCTCATGAAGTCACATACAACAGATAACACATACACTTTTGCAGGTCTTGTGTAATACTTATAAAGTACATGTAGTAGAAGTTGCAACTGAATTAAAATTGTGCATGTTACTAATCTTTTATACTCATTATTGTACAATATTATTACTTTAAAAACATAAATAATAATTTTTAGATAATATGTAATTATATTCAGATTCATATCAATAATAACTTGTTCAGCCTATGTCACCTAGCAAAAGCTCTAGATTTTTAACAATTCAAAATAAAGATCAAGATGTAATTATGAAAAAAATTACATTAAATTCACAATTTGGTCTGCAGCTTAATATTCATCAATTTTACTGAATTGAACACTTCAGCTTTGATTATTCTTTTATAATATTTTCAGCAAAAATCGAGTTGATGTAATGAAGTTTTTGTTAGATAATGGCGCAGACATGTCACAGAGATATGCAGGTGGAAATACGTAAGTATGACTTGTTTTCGTCACATGTGATGAGCGGCGCAAACAAATTAGTAAATATATGCTAGGACCCAGAGATGATTGTGAGGAAAATACAAAATTTTGTTACGTTAATTTCAATCTTTGCAAAGAAATTATGGGTCACAATATAGCTGTGTGATTTTGGGGTACAACTCTTTAGAAAAACCACATTTCTTTTTCTATATATACATTGTCATCAGGAAGTAAATATGATCTTATGAAATTGTTGTCTACAATTATGTAAATAATATGATATATACAATGTATACACAATGCATTGTTTGTTTGCATGATAGTGCATATTAAGTATAGAGTTTAAAATTAATAATATACTGGTACACCTTTCTATGAGGCATCGGCACACAGGTACATCTGTTTTTTTGAGAGGCTGTGGGTCATCAATCGCCCATAAAATACTTTTCTGAATTGATTGTCAACTCTGTCTGAAACATACATGTATATATGTACTAGTTTTGGTATTTATAACGTGATGTGTCTTGTTCTCAGTGCTCTACACTATGCATCAGGCATGACCGGACCTACAGATATTCTAGAATTATTGATAGCGTACGGAGCCAATGTAGATGCCGTCAACGATGATTCTGCATCAGCCTTATTTTTTTCAATGCAGTGTAATAATATGTATGCTGCCAGTGTACTCATTGATAATGGTAAGATACTTTAACTTTATTTGCATTAGTAGTATAAGTATATGCTGAAAATTGTATTATTATTAGTAATCCAGTCTAAAGCTAGTTTTGATGCTAAATTCTGGTGGTACCGGTATTCATACTATGAGGTAAATACAAGGATACCTCAAAGTATGCACTAAGACAGTACAGTAGGAGTATCGACTGACGCCCAGCGGAGGTGATGCAATGGCGTACTGTCTGTGTGTAATCATTCCATATTAGAAATTTGTATTTCCTTATATGGTAGGATGAAAAAATACCGCAAAATTACGGCACGCTGTAACTTATGGCGTTACGGTGACAGATGTATAATAATAAGTTATCACGAGAATTCAGACAGTACAGCGATAATATCAACCAACACTTATTAGAGGTTGATGCATTCCAGTAATGCCTGAGTGCATACTTTGCAGTATCTTTGTGATAACTTATACATCTTTTTCTTGCTCGTAGTAATGATTTAATGAAAAATATTTGTTCAAAATGGCAACGAGAAACCTTTTGTGCTGTGCGAACATTGTGTTCAGTGATGGGATTCTATTTCAACCACACACCGATATATATATGTTAAAATGTAACTTCAATAATCTTTATTTAATTTACTTCAAATAAAGAAAAATTTGAATCTTTAAATGAATGCAACCAAATTTTGAAATGAATGCAGATAGCTTTATAAGGAACAGTAAATTCTGTCATTTTTGGTGCTAAATGTATACTAATTGATATTATCTGACTTTGATATCTTGGATTATATATACTGATATTCAAGTACAATTATGGGCTTGCCAACAGATTATACTCAATTCCCAGTGTGTGGGTTACTCACAATGAAATCCTGGTGTATTTTTGGAAGGTGCATATACATGTACATTATCTATATGTAATTCTTATTGATCATATAATATTTTATCAAATTATCTCATGTTATAATATAGTGTCTGTTATTTTTATGATGCAGTTTGATTTCATTACAATACCAGCTGATACTTTTTTGGTGTGTAAATCAGTCTGAATTGGACATTCAATGCAGAACCAGAAAAAAATGAATTTTATTTGCTTAAAAGTGACATTGTAAATAGTGAATATTATGCTCGTTTTTCCTTCTTATAAGTTCCAAATTGTACCATAATGCACAGTTCCTGGGACTGTGCCTTAATATTTCATGTCATGTTTCTTTCATCTATATGTAGAATACTGCCTATAAGATAAAACATGTAAACACTACTAGCAAAGACACTTTAGAGTAATTTTGAATACTATTCATATCATTTCAGGTGCCAATGTGCGTCATAAGAATATACAAGGGTTGAGTTCATTTGATTGCATTATGGATTTTGATGAGTGGATTGAATGCCCTTACTTCAATGATGAGATTAAAGCTAGACTCAAGGGTGAGTACACTGGCACCAGAATGAAGACAAAGGCATTGTGCAACATATACAATATCTTACAAGTTACTATTATCACAACCTTGTAAATATGCTAATTTCAAAATCATGTCACAGAATGCCATGAATTAAGGTAGCACTAAATTGTAAATGCTGTATTATATAGCGCTGATATAAATTACAGATATGTGTTTGTGGTCACTCCTAATAGAGCAAATCAGGTCATGTGATAAATTAGAATGTACAATGTAGAATAGGCAACTGAATTTGAATATTTTATTTTCTCTCTCAACTTAACAGCCTACAGCTTGAAACACACCAGGGACTTAGTGCGTGCCATTACCAAGAAGGTGAAGGGAAACCAATCTGTACATGTTATGCAGCAGTCTTCACCCACCATGCCTGCCTCATTGCTGGGGTCACAAAGCAAGACTTTGGCATTGAATCAGTCACAAGGCTCATTGCAGACTCAAAGTAAAATGTTGATTCCTATTAGTCCACAGTTACAACAGATTCCTATGGCAACCAGTTCTGGGAGAACAAGTGGTGTCATGTTTCCTCCATTGAAGCAGAATAGTTTTCTGATGTATTAGTGTTATTAAGTATCCTAATTCAACTAACTTGGTTACATGTACAAAAACATTTATCAGAAAATTAATTTTGATGTATTTCATACTTTGTGTATTCTCTTTCATTTACAAAATGATATACAAGGTATTTGCCAAGGTATGTTTTATTCAAATCAAATTTGAATACAATAATTGTGATTCATAACATGTTATGGTTATGCCAAAATCATATACATGTGTAAATAGTATGTATATAGTTGTTTTTTACATCTACGTCTACATTATGGTCATTATTCAACATTGTTATGGTATTCACTGGGAATTCTTCAAAAAATATTTTTTACTCATGTTACATTTTTTAATGGTACCAAGTTCCGTCCAGTTTAATACAACTTCTGTAATTTCAAATGAAGGATATTTAAAAAAAAAATTATTTCTCTTGAAGCCAGTAATTGAGTCTAATTAAGACCCGATATGTCCTTATTTTATTTCCATTCACATTGAAATATATGTAATAGTTTTACAATGTTTTATTTACCTCTGCTGTGTACATTATGCGTGTGTTGCTGGAAATAATGTTCACTTTTGTATGTAAACATGTATAATACAATATTTTATACAAAAATTAATGTTTTGCGAGTTTGAAGCTTTTCTGCTGTATACCAGGGTTGGTTCACTCTTCAGGTAATGCCTAGACTAGTGAGTTGTGGTGAGGAACCATATGCAGGTGCAGATATTGGTGGTAGTAAATATTCAATTACTCAGAATGTTTAATAATTAGTATGAACCATTTTATCTACCTCATGTTACCATACCTTAGTCTATGTTTAATTATGTTCATAAAAGAAAATGTTCCTTATCAATTTAAAGCCAAAGCATGTATATTCGGATGATATTTAAGTTTTGTAAATGTTAACTGCTCAAAATGATTTTACATAATTGCATGTGAATGGAACAGATGTAGTACTGTAAAAAGCCTGTTTAGTGCCAAATTTGGATGATTAGAAATTTTTACATAGACCATTTGATGATTTCACGTCAGTATCTCTGGGACTTATTTGTAGACAATTGTATCTCTATATTTGTATCCATGGAATACAAAGTTCTCTGGTATTTTGAACAACTAATTTACCTGCTAAAATAAGGTTGAGACAATAAAACATTTGTAGGACTGTTCTAGTGATTATCACTATTCCATGAAATATGAATAGGATGAGAAAGATGGCACCAATATGTTATGATGTAAGACATGGAAATCCACAAATTGTATATTGATATTTGTAATATGAGATTCTGTACAATAAAATATATTATAATATGATGTTACCTTCTGTTTGTTTTTTCCTATGTTTATTGGAAATATGTGTACTTCTTTTACAAATGCTGTGGAGATGAATGTGGTAATTAACTAAACAAAAATTAAATTTAAGTAGACTAGCAATATTTCACCAGGTTTACATCGAATATTTTTTCTTCGATTGACCTTAGCAAGCATGAGTGATTACCTCCAGAGTTTGGCGAGGATTTGTATTAATCTATGGGTATTATACATTTATCACATGCATATTTTTTCTACACCACGAAAAAAGTGAAAATGAGTGTTGAAAGTGGAACTATTGCTGAATAACAGAATACAAAAATATCCTTGCGTGCGCCTTTAAGCTAATTTGTTTACGTCACATTGGAACACCTTTCTTTATTTACTGTACTTCAGATGCAGAAGCGATATCGGAGTGTGGAAATAAAATCTCGTCACTGAACACCGACAGAACACGAATGTTCACGCCGGGCGAAACGTTTTTCTTTGTCATTTCGTACTGTTATTAGATTATTTCTACATACAAGAACAAAATGTACAAAAGTTACATATAATGTATAAAGTTATCACGTGATTACCACAAAGCATGGAACTATGGGTTTATAGTTCCATGCACAAAGTATGCACTCAGACTTCCGCTACGTGTTGGTAGACCACCGTACTGTCTGTGTGCATTATTTACGGTATTCTCGTAGTAACCTCATATGACACGCATGTACAAAAACAGTTACATAATTTGGACGATTTGTATACCTATCTAAAGGGGAAAATATGATGTCAATTTCATTTCCTATGTTAGTTATAATTGTATGTAGAGGATCTGGTTTATCTACGCAGCATTCTATCCTATGATTGACAAATTTCAAATATGAATTGACATGCTTTTGCCTGAACCCATTCAACATTTTGCTGATTGAAAGGATAACAGCTATGTAAAAAGTAAACAACTGGGTGGACCATGCAAATTACGTTTTCCATGGCGGGCATTGTAGAGCCGTGATTTGAAGCCTTACGCCTATGTACCTTATGCAATTTCCCACGCCCACGCTGAGCTAATTTGAAAAGCCATGGAATTGAATTAATTGTATCTAGTGCAAAGGTGTAGACCATAGGACACAGAGAACACATGGCGGGTAACTTACAGTGTGCAATACATACGGTGTATGTTGCCATGACACGTGATGTCATTTGTTTAGATATCCATAAAACCTTTGAACTCTGCTATAGTTCACAGACCCTGCGGTACGAACTGTAAATAGACCTGCTGTATTGGTCATAACCAGGACCATAACACAGGGAAGCATAATGCTTATATTTCTGAGGTCAGTCTTACGGGAACTGGTGTCTATGGGATATGGTTTACTCAACCACCGTTTTCTGGGGCTATTTATTTTGATAGCATTTTTCACCAATGTTCTATACAAACTATACCAACAACTGCAAGCAAGATGGCGGGCAGAGAGAGACCTGGCTGAGATACCAAGCCCAGAACGTCACTGGTTATTCGGACATCTACGTATGGTATGAGTGTTTTGTTGTTGTTGTTCTAGATGGAAAACGGCATGTGTTCAATTACGTCACACGGGGACTCGTAAACTTACTTGTTCATTTTTTTTTTCAACACCAATAGCGTTGGGTGAACACAGATACCGATCATAACTATGTTTAAGATAATGGAAGATTCTTCTTCAGGCGCATCGCGATGAATAAGAACAAGTATGAGTTTTAAAATTGAAATTAAATTTGAACCACAAAAACCAACACAAAGGTTCAGTGTCACAATACCAATCTATTTTATTGAAGTCGTGCTCATAATCGTCATGAAATCTAATTTTCTGACGTAAATAAAATCCGAATATCGAAAAGATGAGACTCACTCGGTTTGGCTAATAACTTTTAAAGGTGTCCACTTTATTGACCAATCAGCGCCTTTTCAATATGGCGTTTCTTTATTCAGTAAAAGTTCTTACGATACAAATTTCTATTGGTTACATATTATAATTATAACTACTGGGAAGTCTTGATAAATACTAGTATTTTTTTATGAAGTAATGCTTCAAAGTATAAAAACATACCTTAACATCGATTCCTAAATTGTACCATAGATATAAATTTCTGCATTTGCGTGCGAATTATTCGCCCAAAGAAATATTTCGTGCTTGGGAAAAACAAATCAATAACTGATTAACACTTTTCAAAGGCAAAGGTGTGTGATACATTTCTCTCCAATTTATTAGGTTGAGCTTCCAAGCACGACCTTAACTTTATTACTTTGAAAAAAAACATCTTACCGACACACAAGCAATACAAATACGAATGTATGAAAGTGAGCCAATTTACTGATATCTGTTTCATGTACCACGAACTGAAGATTAAAAACAATGAAACAAGGCTAGCAGAAGCCAACCGCCGTTCCCATGAATTCAGCCCAGCGTCAGTATTATGGCTTGGACCATTTGTACCACGAATAGTTGTGAACCATCCATCAACCGTCAAATCTATTCTAGCGACAACAGGTATATGCTATATTTTGTTTCACATGCTTGTAATTGTTTCCACGTTTCCTAGAAACACTCACTTACATATTATTGTTTTGATGTTCATTCACAACCAATGTATAAATCAAGCCATGTTACTGAATTATGCGAATTTTCTCTCTAAGAACCGAAAGACGACTTCTTGTACGGCATGCTAAGACCGTGGTTAGGGGATGGACTTCTCATAAGCAGTTGACAGAAATGGTTTCGTAATCGTCGACTTCTAACTCCCGGATTTCATTTTGACATTCTCAAACCTTATGTACCAATATATAATGAATGTGCGAAGACGATGTTGGTATGTTGCATTCATGTACATCTGTAATTATTTAACGTTTATATCTCGACGTTGCAACAATATTTTTATACTCCAATCATTGTATGATCATACTGCATCAGATGTATATTGTAATATTAATTAATATATGTTGTATATTTTATGTCTGTGGTCAATAATTTATGTTGTATTTGGGTAGCCTTCAGATAGTTATAAATATTATGTTACATTCAATCGCAATGTGCTTTCTGATTTGCTGAGGTACTGCCATGTATAATTAATGAGTTTTTGTACCACAGTTCCTAGCGTTTTGTTCTTCCCCTGCTGTTTGCTTTTGTCGTCACCCAACAGGCTATTTAGACAATAATATATCAAATAAATTAATTATAATTAAATTTTGATTTTGGATGATCAGTACTTAGTAAAGGTTGTTGTGTTTCGGTGTGGTAAACACAGATTACACCGCGAACAACACAAATAACCATAGGCTCTTCGTAGTAAAACAGTTGAAAAATATTAACTTGAACAATTTCTAGTGGATGTTCATGTACATGAAAAAACCCTACATTGATTCATTTATAATTTTCCGATTCCCAGGACAAATGGTTACATCTATACACATCAGTGGACTCTGAGTCACATTCCTTAGAAATGTTTGAACACATGAGTCTTATGACATTGGATAGCTTACTGAAGTGTATTTTCAGCCAAGAAAGTCTCTGTCAAACCGCTAAGTATGACAAATGAATTACTCAATTTGGTTGTGATAGCATGTATTTTATACTCTATTTTTATACAAAAGGAGTGGTAACACAAAGTCGTAAATCTCTCATACAGTGGTTTATGTAAAAGATTGATCTTGTACTTTCTATTCCAGATCTCAAAATCCATATATTCGAGGTGTTTATGCTCTGTCTTATCTGATAGCTGAACGCATTAGATTTGTGCCTTACCACAGCGACATCATCTATAACCTGTCAATTAGTGGATATAAATTCAGGAAAGCCCTCAGAGCAGTTC